ATTGATTTTATGAACTATTAATTTGTTAGATCACTGATTTGATAGAGTGTTAATTTGATCATTGATTTAATTTTTCTTACACTCATTCTCCAGTTAGGAGAGTAAACTCCAGTTGGGAGAGTAAACTCTGAACAAATATTTAATGAACTAATCTGCTGTATCATCATTCACAGGAATAAACCATTTGAACAATTGTGATTTTGATGAAATCCCAGTTAATCCCCTGGACAAATGGAGCTTTTGGGCTGGGAAATCCTTCTTCTGGGCTGGAAAACCCTTATTTTGAGGAAATTCATTATTTCAGGGGAATTTTACAGCTTTTGGGGTATTTTCCCACCCTGTTTCAACTTACCGCAGAACATAATGGTCCAGAACCATCTCAGAACATCTGCTTTTCCAAAGCTGCCATCCATGATGCTCTGGGTGCAAAAGGTAAAAAAACCCTGTCAAATTCTCATATCTTTTGAAATCTCACTAGAATTTTCCCAAAATTCACCATTTCTTAAATAAAACTCTACAAATTGCCAAAATCTGTGTGTTTCAGCCTTGTACTCATCTCAAAAATCAGTATTGTACTGAATTTGTCCCCAAAATCTGTTCTCCTCATTCAAGCTATCCTCAAATTCACTATTTTAATTGCATTTACTCAAAAATGTGAATTTTATTCCATCTGGTGCAAAAATTGGCTTTTGTGGGGGTATTTCCACATGCCTTCCCCCATGATCCCAGGCACCTTGGAATCTCTTTCCCTTTTCCTCTTTTTTCCTTTCCCCTTTTCCTCCCTTTTCCTTTTTCCTCTTCCTATTTTTTTGTAATTTCCTCTTTTCTCCTTATTTTCCCCATTGTTTCTTTTGCTTCATTTTTCCATTATCTCCTCTTTTCCCCAAATCCCATTTTTCCATCCAAATCCCCTTTGAGCTTTTTCATTTCTTCATATGTTTTCCCTTTTCTCTTCCTTTTGTCTCTTTTTACTCCTTTTTTCCATTTTTTCACTTACTTACCCTTTTACTCTTTCCTTCCCCTTTTCCCTTTTTTTCCCTCCACTTCCTTAATTTTTCTTTTCTTCTTCCCCTCTTGTTTCCTTTTCGTCTTGCCTCACTCTTTTCCCTTTTTTTCTGTTGTTTCCCCCTTTCCCACATTTTTCCTACTTTCCTCCCTTCTTTCCCTGTTTTCCTTTCCTTCCCATTTTTCCAGTTTCTCCCTTTTTTTCCCTTTTCCCCCCTTATCTCACTCTTTCCCTCTTTTCTTTCTTTTCCTCTGTTCTTTCCCCAATTTACCTTTCCTCCTCCTTTTTCCTTTCCTTCTTTTCCCCTTTTCTTCTCTCTTCCTTTCCTTCCTTTTCTCCCTCTCTTGTTCCCTTCCACCCCCCATCCAGTCCTTTTCTCCCCCAAATCCCTTCACAAACCTTCCAGTTCCACTGCTCCTAGGACCAGACCCAGGGCTGTGGTGGTGGGGAGGGGTGAAGGGGTGGGGGGGGAGCTTGAGGAGTTTTCAGGTGGATTTTCCCACCTTAGGGTCTTTCCTGCCAAAAAAATTATCAGTTATTAGATCTACATTTGCCCTTACCAGCCTTCGGCCCCGTTTGATCCCCAGCTTAGCTCCGTATCCCCAAAGAGCTCTGTTTTATCCCCAAATCTGTGAAGAAAACACAATCCCAGGACAGCAGATCTGGCTCCTCCCTCAATTATTTTTTCATTTTGGCAGAGAAAGGGGAAAGAAAATGACTAATCCAGGCACTCCCAGGGGATGACCCCACCCAATGACGTGCAATAATTTTTGGCCAGAAAAGGTGAAAACAGAGAGAAAAACAGGGTTTTTTTTTGTTAAAACTGATGTCAAAAATTGGCGTTACCAGATATCGAGGTTTTTTGCCCAATGTGTTTTAAATTATTCCAGAATGACAAGGAGGTGAGGGAGCAAAAATAGAGTATTTTTTTGAGAAATAGAGGGTGTGATTTGGGTAAAAAACAGAGGAACAAGGGAAAAAAGGGAAGGGGAGGGAGAGAATTTAAAAAAAAAAAAAGCATTTTGTGGGTTGAGGAATTCATGGGATCAATAGATCAGGATTCAATAGATCCAGGATCAATAGATCCAGGCCAATGGCATGAGGTGCACCAAGGGGAAATGCCAGGTCCTGCCCCTGGGTCACAACAACCTCTGCAGCTCCAGACTGGG